GAAACAATTAAAATGAACATGATGCATGTGATGCAAAAATGCCATCACTGACATTTTGTTGGCATAGAGAGAAAGACAGGAACTGTTTAAAGGGCTCAAGAAAGCACAGCAAAGGAGGTGATATCTGATTCTAAAAGGTGAACAGAAATTTGCAAGGGACAGAAGGGGAAATGAAAGCATTTCACTTGGATAAAAGTTGTGGTTTGTACCAAGCTCAGAGATGTGTGCCTGAGGAATGATATGACCGCCTGAACGTTAATGTGACTGGAGCACAGGGGGCAAGCAAACCATTACAAAAGGAGATTGGAGAAGGTTAGCAGGAGGTTGTAAGCCAGACGTTTTACCTGTGGGCAGAAGATCACAGAACACACGTTCAAGGCTGGAAGTCCTATGAGGAGAACTGTTTTCACATGGCATTAATGTAGGCTTTCAATGCTATTGTATGAGGAATAAAAGGACAGAAGCATAGGCTTTCTTGAATACCCTTCCTATACCAGGCCCTTTGATAGCCATCATCTACACCAATTCTACATGGGATATTATTTAGACCCTTATTTCAATAAATGAAAAAACTGGAGTTCCTCTGAATGATTTATTTGATAACATCTCCAATCTTTTGCAATTCATGGCCCATCAGGAAATTATCCTTATTTCTTTGAGTCACAACCAGTCAAAAAACTAGGTTCAAAGAACAATGAGTCGGTTCTAGAGAGGCACAATTTACATTCTAATGAATCAATCATTCACATTCAGTATATAATTAAACTGAAATTAGAAAATGGACATACTGGAAAGCTATAATGACTTTTTCACAATTTTCAGACTGATAAAATATTAGGTAATATAATAATATTTTATATATTTATTCATATTTAAAGAACTAAATTTAGCTAATCTGGCATCCATAACCTAAACAAATCCTAGGGAAAATAACGCAGTGAATCACACCTTCTCCATAAAGGGCAGCATAGCATGTAGGAACAAAGATTTATATTTTTACCATTAAATTTACAAAGATTTTGTAAATACTTCTTTAACCACTAGTTACATAAATATAAAAGCTTTGAATATAAAAATAATGTGACATACAAATAAAGTAATTCACTTACTGGTTTAAGAGTATAAATCTAATTCTGAAAAATAACCCCTAAAGATCAGTTTTTCATATGAATTTTTAGATTCAAGTCAACATTTCTAAGGGGATTACAGCATCTTAAAAAGAATTAGCAAAGACACGGGGCAAGTAGGAAGTAGTATTGGTAGCTTACATAAACCCAAGCTTGGGTTCTTACTCCTTTTGTATTTTAATGCTTTAATTCAAGACTGAACTTTTGAACATTTTGCATTCTAAACGTTTAGCTCTTTGTCGGTCACTGGCAAGCTTGTCTGTGTTAAACTATATGCCTGAGAAAAAGATGATGATCCAACCTAAAGCCTAATGCTGCGAAAACACACATCTAGTTCCTATTTATCAGCTGATATAGCATGACTGTGCTCTTGAAAGACGTCTGGGTAACACAGTCTATACAAGACCACGACAGGCAGAAGACCTAAGGTATAAATAAAGTCAGAACTTCAGGGGAGGTAACAGAAATCTACAGCACACTCAGAATACACTGCTAAGTCTTAAAATTTCAGTGAATTATTATTAATATTTTTAGGTCTGTCTTTAAAACAAAAAACTATAGTATATAGTAAGAAATACCCTTAACCTTCTTACCCAAAATTTGAGTATGTGTATATATACATATTTACATATAATCATATATAGATGCATAGATAGATTCAAATAAAGCTTCCACAAAATAATAACCAACCAACAACTAATCAGTTGCTGTCAGCTTGGCTCTGACTCATGGGGAACATGTGTGTTGAATGAGACTGTGCCATTGTGAAACAGAAAAATCGGTATTTTTATGAGAATGTGAATGTTTTGTGCTGTTAAAGTACTGCTCATGTATAAATCACTTATATTTTCTGGAAAAAGATAATACTTTAAATACTATTAGCATCATGATTATAGTTATTTGCCTGCTTTGACTCCGACAAAGAAGGATTTCATTGCCCTCTTGAGGTGGTTTTGCTGTACTGCAATCTCCAGGAATCCCACATAAATGTGATCCCCACCCCACCCCACCCCACACACTAAGAGGCACTTTGATGATAAATTTTTAAACATCCATAACTTGTACATATATTTCATGCCCTCCATTCAGCTTTATCTGATAAATTCAATCTTTTCCAAAGTAAACTATTTTAAGAAACAAACTGGTTCTAATTATAATACCAAAAGATTCTTCTGAAAGTTACTTTCTGTATTCTAATACCCCAAACAGAATAATTACAGCAAATATTCACTACTAAACACAGAATTTAAATAAATGGAAATAACTCCAAATGGATGGGGCTGAGCTTTGTCGGCACTAATTTTTAGACTGTAACAGGTGTCTTTGCAAAGTCAACTATGTAGTCTAGAAATATCAGAGCCTGATGATACTTGGCTATTTTCTTTTCAAGATTAATAAATTCCATTTCCTTTAAAACACTCTGTTGTGTCCTGTGCTGTGGAGTCAGTTCATAGCGACCTTATGCACAACATAAGGTTACTATGGGTCAGGACCAACTCAATGGCACCTAGCAACAACATGTTGAAGAGAAGGAAATACTGCCCCATTCTCACAATTGTTTTCATGTTTGAACCCAGTGATGCAACCACTGTGACATCCATCTTGTTGAAGGTCTTCCTCTTTTTGGCTCCCCTGCCACTTCAGCAAGCATGATGTCCTTCTTCAGGGAGTGGTCTCTCTTGATAACATGTCCAAGCTACATAAGACAAAATCTCACCACCCTTCCCTTTATGGACTATTGTGGTGGTACTTCTTCCAAGGCAGACTTGCTTGTTTGTGAGTCTATCTCACACGAAATGACCTAGCTTCTTTCCCTAACATCACCAATGCTTCTAACTTTTTTGTGAAATAAGAAACATGTAACTAAATTAAAAACTTTCAAAAATACATTCTGAAATAAATTATATGAAAACAATTTTTTTTCTTAAAGAAATTCATTTAAAATGAATTATTTAGTGTCTCAACAAACCCTGTGTGTGAACCTACAAAATGGATTTCTAACTATATTATCTGAAAACCTACTGGATCAATCCCACAACCACTGCCATTGAGATCAATTCAGACTCATAGGGACCCTACATAGAGTGTGCAAGTCAGTGGATCTTTATAGGAGCAGACAGCGTTATCTTTTCCCCCTGGAGCAGTTGGAGTAGAAATCTGATGTACAATGTGCTAGTTATGGAGAGACTATGTGTAGTGGGATCCTTAAGTTCACATTCTAGCTTTCGTAACTGAGTGGGAGTGCCATTCACAGAAAGCAAATGATACTCTGATTTGGGAATGTTGCATTTAATGTGCCACTTGGGGACATGGATTTCACTATATAGAGAAAGACCTATAAATGATCAAAGGCTAGGTGGTTAAAAAAAAAAAGGATGTGGGTTCATCCAAGGAGAGTATAAAAAGTGAAAAAAGATGAAGACCAAGTTTAGAAATTGGTAACATTTAATTGCTCCATATATCTTCCTGCTGCATGGGACTTTGGCTAATTAATCATAAGCTTTATAAGATCATTTGGTCTTCCTTCAATTTGCAGATCGGAAACTACGAGTATAAGAAGTTAAACGACTTTATTTAAAGTTTTCTATATGTAGAGGTAAGTGAAAAGAGTAAATTTCCAGATTGAGCCCAAGCCTTTCCATGCAACCATGCAAATATTTTTTTACTAGTATTGTATGCTTCTCTTCACTTAATCAAATCAAACCCAAGGTCGCTGAGTCAGTTATGGTGACCCTGACTACTGAATTAAAGGTTGGTGTTTTGAAACCACCCACCGACACGGCAGAAGAAAGTTCTTGTGATCTGCTACCTTAAAACTACAGGCATGAAAACCTCATGGAAAACTTTCCATTGTACCACATGGTGCCTCAATGACTCCATTCTTTTTCTCTACTGCCTCATAAATTTTGAGAAGGCAAGAACTGCAAGATCCTTTCTTGTAATTAATGGATGAAAGACACATTTGTAATTATTGTTATTTTGCATATTTTCAAAACTGAAAGAATGTATTAACAAGGATAACCCTCCAATAATACAGTTCCTTAAGAAATAGGACCCTACATTTATTCTTCATATATACTTTCTGAGTCTTCTGGGTAAAAGGGAATGCCCCATTCAATAATTATAATAGCACATTCTGCTATTTATAGCATATGCTTTTGTTGCTATTTTGTACAAATCACCCAAACCAATGTATTTATAAGGATAACATTTTGTCATGGGTAATGTTCTGTGTTAACTTAGCTAAGTTATGATTCCCAGTGATTTGGCAGACATTATGTAATAACCTTGTGACCTGGTGTGAGTAGCCAGTCAGTTGAAGGGGGGGGTTTCCTTGGGGTGTGGTTTTCCTGCCCCCAGTGGATAAATGGATGTCCTGGCAAAGTTCTTTTGCTCTCTCAACCCTGTTCTCTTCTCATTATGTGACCTCTGGCTCCTGGGACATAATTCTGCTGAAATCTCCAGCCTGCCTGCTGACTTGAAGATTTTTTATTTACTTGTCATCCATATACCCATGAGCTGTATAACCATGAGTCAGCCTGACACTTGGCCTGCCAGAAGTCTTCAGTCTCTCACATGACCTACTGACTTGGTACTCACCATCCCCCATGATTGTGTGAAGCATTTCTTCAACAATTATGGGAGCCATTTCCTTTAAATAAATAATTTATTTTGCATATATATGGGTTCACTATTTTTTCTCCCCTAGAGAACTCACACTAAGACTCCTTCCAAAAATAACTTCCTGAAGTTTGTGGGGGGAAAAGGAATTTAATTTTCCATGAACGTCAACTTTTTGAAGCCAACCTTATGTATGGTTTTCATAATCACACTTAAACAAAAAGGAAGAGAAAAGAAATTCCTTTAGAATACCTGCTTGATTTGTTTGTTGCCAACCTGGTGACTTGGTAAGGTTGGTGGAAGTCACAGGCTTGAAGGTGGCAGCGGCTGTGAGGCTGGCCGACTCTGATCTGGCAGTAGGGGGGCTTTCCAGGCTCTTGGCAATGCTTGGTGAAGCCAATTGCTGAGAAGGCTCCTGGGTGTTGCTGTAGAGGGCAGAGGAGGCACTTCTGGTGATGTAGAAACATGAATTGGCAACAATCTTCCCCTGCCCCAAACCCATTATATTGTTAAGTTTAAAAAAAAGTTAATTGATTTTTGAACAAGAAGTCAGACTGTATTCCATTTATTTTTCAGAAATTCCTTTAAAAATATCTATCATAAGAAACTAAGCTTTGAAATATGTAATGGTATGATATGCATACTAAATCCCAACTAGTAAAAAGAAAGGAAAAAAGAAACTAAGCTATTGAAAAGTTTATATAGTCAGTCAATCCCATTCATACAAGCAGATTTTATTAGTTCGTCTTAAGTCAAAATTCATGTAGTTAAATCAAGTCATCATTAAACAATCCCTAATACACATCTATGAAGCGATATACATGCTCCCCACTCCTATGTTCTTCTAAGTATTCTGTGAAGTAAGGTTCTCGACATCTCATCAGTTACTTGTTCCCACTCTCATATTCACTTCATGCAGATTTAAGCATCTATCCTATGGTAGACACTAATATGCACTAGACACAAAGTAAAAAAATCAAGATATACCTCTGCCCTAATTAGACAAAATAACCATTACCTTTACCCAGACAATGTTATTTACTTCCCAGGAGGGCTAAATCTTTACAGGAGAAAGACCTTGTCCAACGTGTAGCCAACTAGACCATCACCACGTCTCCATAGAGGTTATATCATCAAAAAGAGAAATTTAAATCCAATCTTCCTCACTATATTGGCAAGTGAACAAGGATGCCTAATTTCTCCAGGGGCTCTTAAATGTCTGATAATATCCAATGTGATAAGCCTGATACTGCATATTCTTAGTAATACCTGCTTGCAAGATTGGTATCTGGGAACTTGGCTGATAAACATTTCCCTACAATGATCTATCACCACTTGTGAGCTGGTCACAGTGCTGTTTGCAAATAAAAACCTTATTATTTCACAATAGAATACTGTCTGACATGGTACTGGCAGGAGAACCCCCTCAGATGGAAGGAATTATAAAATAGCTACAACAATGGACTCAACCATGTTACTGTTAGTGTAGCTGTTAGGTGCTATCAGGTCAGTTCTGACTCCTAATAACCCCATGGCAAGACAGAAGGAAACCGTAGTCACAATCAGAAAGATGTTGCAGAAGCAGCCAGCCTTTTCATTCTTTTTTTTTTTTAAATCATTTTATTGGGGGCTCGTACAACTCTTACACAATCCATACATCCATTCATTGTGTCAAGCACATCTGTACCTTTGTTGCCCTCATCATTCTCAAAACATTTGCCTTCTACTTTAGCCCTTAATATCAGCTGCTCATTTTCCCCCTCCCCCCTCCCTCATGAACCCTTCATAATTCACAATTATTATCTTGTCATATGTCATACTTCACTCCCATAACTCAGTTTTTCTTCAGCGTCGATTCTTCTTCTTTTTTTTGAACTTTGACTAGTGACTTTACTTTCTTTTTTTTTTCTTTTTTCTGTCTTGTCTTTTTTTTTTTTCTTTTTTCTGTCTTGTCTTTTTTTTTTTTAAACATTTTATTAGGGGCTCATACAACTGTTATCTCAATCCATACACACATCAATTGTGTAAAGCGCATTTGTACATCATTCTCAAAACATTTTCTCTCCACTTAAACCCCCGACATTAGGTCCTCATTTTTCCCCTCCCTCCCCACTGCCCCCTCCCTCATGAGCCCTTGATAGTTTATAAATTGGTATTCTGTCATATCTTGCCCTGTCCGACGTCTCCCTTCACCCACTTTTCTGTTGTCTGTCCTCCAGGGAGGAGGTCACATATAGTTCCTTGTAATCGGTTCCCTCTTTCCTACCCATTCTCCCTCTACCCTCCCTGTTTCGCCACTCACACCACTGGTCCTGTAGGGCTCATCCACCCTGGATTCCCTGTATCCTTTTCATTCTTTTATACATTTGGTTTCTGAGACTCAGAGCCAACTCATGGGAAACTAAAAGCAAGTGATACAAAGCAATTTCTAAATCAGTGGTTCTCAACCTTCCTAGTGCCACAATTCTTTAATACAGTTCCTCATGTTGTGGTGACCCCCAACCATAAAATGATTTTCGCTGCTATTTCAAAACTAAGTTTGCTACTATTATGAATTGTAATGTAAATATCTGATAGGCAGGATGGATCATTTGACCCCTAAGGGGGTTGTAACCCACAGGTTAAGAACCACTGCAAATGACAGGAGTAGCTCACAGTGCCTACCTTGTCCATGTACCCACTGTGGTGTTTTTTTTTTCTCTTTAAAAGAGTGTTTATTAAAGGTCTTTATAGAACAACATCTACACATCAGATCCAGTTGCCAAGGAGACCGTTAGACAGTGGGGACTGGCTGAGGCGGAGTAGGATTTCAACCTTGGGTTCCACAACGTTCACATGGTCAGGCAGGAGCTTCTTAGGACCCATCTTACCACCTGGATCCCAGGGCAGCATGATCTTCACTTTGATGCCCTGCACCCCCTCCCTGAGCAGCACGTGGTACACAGTCAACATAGTAGTTATAACAGGGTCCCTGCTGTGGATCATCAGGCTGTCCACGAACTTCATCGATGTAGCCCTCTGTGCTTGGAGATTCCCAGACACCACAACCTCTCTTTGGGTGAGGGACCACAGCACCCTAGCAAGCCCTCCGCCCAGTGAGCCTTCCAAGAGTTTGCAGAGCAGACTGCCTGGGCAATGGTGAATAGGTCTCTTGTGGTCACCTTTTCAGCATAAAGCTCCACATTGCCCTCACAAGACAAAATAGGCAACAGGATCCCCATAAAAATGACAACTTTTGCTCAATAAAACAAATTTATCAACAAAATGAAGAGACAGCTACAGACTGGGAGATCTGGGGGGTTCATATATCTGATAAGGGTTTAAGATCCAAACTATATCAAGGATTCCTATAACTTACCAATAAAAAGACAATTCAATTAAACAGTGACAAAAGACCTGACATTTTACTAAAGAGAATATTTCACTAAAGAGTATAAAGGACATTAAAAGACAGTTATTAAAACAAAACCAACCAAAATGACCCACGCCAAATAAACAGCTGTTAAGGTGATTCTAATTCGTAGTGAAAACACAGGACAGAATAAAACTTCCCTGCAGTTTCCAAGGTTGTAAATCTTTATGGAACAAGACTTTCTTCCCTGGAGTGACTAGTGAGCTTGAAATGTTGACCTTCTGGCTAGCAGCTGTGAAACCACTGTTCAGTTCCTTTCATTGGGCATTAAAACAAAAAACCAAACTCACTGCCATCAAGTCAATTCTGACTTATTGACCGTATAGAACAGAGCAGAACTGCTCCCTCCATAGGGTTTCTGAGAATATCAACCTTCGGGGGGAGGGGGGAGGTTAGATACCCTCATCTTTCTCCCTTGGGGTAACTCATGGGTTTGAATCATCTGTGGTTATCAGTCTAGCATCTGACCCACAGGGAGCCAAAAGAATGTGAAGAAACTTGAACCTTCATCTACTGTTGACAGAATGCAAAGTGATACACCCTTCATGGAAAATACTTGAGATGTTTCTCAAAAAGTTTAAATACCGAGGAGGAAGGGGGAACCGATTGCAATGATCGGAGCTTCCACTGCAAGTTAGTGGAAAAATGGAAAAGATAATTGAATTTTTCAACGGATTTTTCAAAGCTTTTTGAACATACAATGTAAAAGCATGTAGTCATAAACAGAAGGAAACTTCTAATAATTATTTTTTCAGTAAGCTTATTTGTAGTTTCAAATTTTGTGTAATAATTTTGGCAAAATTTTTAGACTTGAGAGACAAGCTAATTGTAGTGTTTCAACCCTTTCCAGATACAGTGAACATTGAGATGCTTGTATTTAAAAATTCTAAGCTAGAACCAATAAAAAAAAAACAATTACATGTAGTTCCCAATTTATGAGAGAGCTCTATTTCAATGACTCTATCACAAATTGGTTCTAATTCTAAAATTGAATACCTAATTTTTTGTTTTAAATATTCATTATTGTTGCCTTTTATTAGTAGTATCTTTATAATCTGATCTTTGCTTTTTCTTCTGGGGTTGCCATGAGAATGATTAAGAGCAACAAACAGTAACAGGCACTGTATTCAACACCGTTGCACCTAACAAAGTGTACAGAAACCAATGGTTCCAAGTGCAGCTCATTGCAACTGGAAGACGTGGTACATTAGGGACTACCTGTATCTTATTATTTTTCAGTTTTTTATCTGCTCTAATTAAGTATTTGATTATTCAAGGAGCGCCACATCCACGCAATACAATAGGTCTATTGTAAATGTTTGTGTAACT